AAAAGGAATGGGGATACAGGGTAGCTTTGTCGAACTTCACTGGAGACGGCGAAGGGCGGTAAAAGCTAGCCATAAGCCTTAACCCGATCTGAGATATGGCGATACAACTCTGAGGATTGACACATGCTTCCTCAACAAACAGCTCTATAGTGCGGTCCTATTGACAGAGTTAAAGGCCGCGCGCAGTCATTGCGCGTGATTTTAAAAAAAATGGGGACGACAATGGACTCTCCCCACGAGAAGGGGGTTTTGCTCAATGTTCCAAACGGTCGTTTGAGAACAGTTGTTCTCTAACAAGCTTTATTCCACCATCTTTAAATAGAACTGGGGGAAGGCCATCGGAGCCCGGCGCTTTGTGACGTCCCAAGGCTTGGATCTCCTTAAGGGTTTCCGCCTCAGAAGATGGGTCTGTTTAAACAGACCATAGAGCGTGCCGGAATAGCTTTGTGAGAAGCTGGCGCTGGTGGTCAGGTAAATTGTGCTTCGAAGTGCTCTGCCTAGCGTCAAGACGTCGCTGTTGATTGTGAATAAGCGAGCCGTCAGCTTCATAGATCGTCTCGCTCACACCCAAGGTTTTCTTACCGGTGACTCGGATGAAATGGAACAGCTTACGGGAATTTCGGATTGCGGCAGCACGTTCCATCTCTGATGCGCGTTGAGACCACCAGATCTCGCGATCTCCGCGTAGGCTACGTTAAGTTTCCGTCTCATTACAAGCCGTGTTACGTTATGCTCACTGCCGGCCGGAAGTGACCGACGTGCGTCAAGAAGGCGCAGAGAATCAGTGGAAATCCAGGGTGTCACGACACGGTGTCAGACCACAACTAACTAGGCCAGCAGAATGCACAGCATTCTTGATAAGCGACCATTGCTGATTAAGGTTATCAGGTGGGGTTGGTTCTAGCTTTTCAGCTAGCGCGTTTTGAAAAACGGCTAGGCGTGCTGGTTGAGAAATTTATCGCAGTCTAACCATTGTGTCATGCGTCTAGAACTCTAACCGAAGCACGTGTGTGCGGCAGGATGTCCTCCGTGAACGGATACACCGGAAATCCGCAAGAGTCTAGGTGTGGGCTGGAACCGTCGACGGGCAGGATGTTCTCCGTGGAGAGGGATTTGACTGACAATCTAAAAGAGTAAAACTGCAGACACTATAAACCGAATGGTCCAGTGAGACACAAACACGACTCATACTCAAACGGGATAGCAAATTGCCAGAGTCGTTTCACATGGACAGCTTGGCCCAGACTAACGTGTGATCGGATTCGAGGGGAGTGCTCTAGCACGGTCGGTAGTCTTGCATGCAACCACGCCATTTGTAGCTAACGGCCATGTGGTTCACTTGCGTTTGTCGCTAACTCGAGGAGAGTGGACGTCAAGTGGCGTAACGGCAGTTGGAGCGTCTGAAGTTAGTACTGGCGAGGAATAGGTGACGGTCAAAACATAGAGGCAACAGCCGTTTTCGGATTAATTTAATTTCGGATTTAATTTGGCTTTACTGTCGGTAGCTTACGGCTATGTGATCAATTTGGGTCAACGTTCCCGTTGAACTGAAACGCCATGTGTCCGTTCGATGAGAGCTGTGTCGAAAGTTGGTGCGAGCTAGGAAAAACCAAAGATCAGCGCAGAACCGAAGTAGTCGATCACCGTTGTCTGTTCACTGGGCAGGAAGAGCAAAGTGTACTCCTAGACAAGCTTCGAAGGAGCTCAGTTTTCCAACCTGTGCATTAAAATCACCTGCCAGCACTATAATATCATAACTGCGGCTCAACCATACCACGCCTAACCTATCGGGGCCTTATGCCGTTCGCCACTCCAAGTGCCCTCCTTAGGTTGCCGGTTCCCTGTGTGAAATTTAACACAGGCATACATGCACGCATGATTGGAGCCGAAGCTAAACCATTGAGACTCGAATCTCTCATTCCTTGTTTATTCTTATTGTTAGTCATATTCAGCGTTATGTAATGGCATGATTACGAATAACTGAAAACGAGCTTGTTCGCCACGTTGTTGTTCTCAATGTGTTCTATGGGACTAATGAAACGTTTCAAATCTAACTGCCAACTTGGAGAACCGGGAGACTGAACTTTGTCTGAACTCTACCTATCGAACTCCCGGGCACGGTTAGATCCATGGCTCAACAAAAGCCATCCATTGTAGCTCGTTGGATCACAGAAGTGCATGAGCCATCACACCATATATATCCGGCCACTGGTGGCGCACAACGCTAGGCGGTAGATAAATTTTTTTTTGTATTTTGAGCGGACACCTGTTCCTTTCCTACATGAAATGGTGCCTATTTTGAGTTGGGTGAGCGATAGTCCAACCTTTGTTTAACTCTTTGTCTTCCGTTCCCAACCCTCTTCTTTTACCCCTTCTTCCGACCTGTAATAGTACCTCAAGCAACTTGGGTATCGATCGCCAAAGGTCATTGCCAAATAGCACCGCAAATGATTTACCACAAAATGGATTGCAGATTCTAAAGCCTTGTCAATCACTTAATCTGGGGTTTTAAAAGTGAGGACTTTGATGCAGCTGGGTCAACAAGCTTGTCTGGCTCGTACAATGGAATCCTTAGGAATCGATATCTGCTGTGTGTCGGAAACTCGGATCCAGGATCCTACTCTAAGCCACTTGAGCGCGCCAGATTTGTCGACGAGATACGTTCTTCGCACATCAGGCGACGATGAAGCTCGTTCAGTAGGTCAACGCGGGGTAGGTATTGTACTCAGTAATAGGGCGGAGTCCTCTCTAATCGATTGGATCCCCGTCAACAGTCGTTTATGTGCAGTGCGTCTTCGGGGTTCAATCAGCGTCCGGAAGGGAAGCAACACTAAAAGGTGTTTGTTTATCGTATCAGCATACGCACCGACCAATTGCAGTTCTGATACCCAAAAG